GATGTAAAGGAGGATGAACGACTACCCTTTCTGGATATTGAAGTCATGCGCTCCAAAAGGACACTTATGAGGAGACTAAAGAAATAATTCATATGTGGGAATAATCCTTAATTTTCAGTCCCATCATAACTACAGACTTGATCATCAGAAGCTTACGACTAACGGACAAAGAGTTCTTTAACAAGGAGTTGGAAAAACTGACACGGATTTGCCTTAGTAACGGATACCCCAGAGCATTTATAAAAAATTATGTTAAAATTATAAAGGGCCGATTTAAATTTGGATTTTATGAAAATCAGATCAGGAATCAGGATGAAAACCAAAAGTGGATTTGCAAACAATTGCGATTGTTACTAAGGAAACGAAATATCAAGGTGATAACAAAAGAGAAGAAAACACTTTTCACCAATCTGCCGACGCAACACGAGAGGACGGACAAACTTGATTGCTCGGTAGTTTATCACATCAAATGCGCAACTGTGAGCAAATTATATTGACAGGAAAAAAAATCGGCCTACGAATTAAGCAACATCATAGACTCTGCAGGAACATGGGTACAAAAAGATCCGAAATAGCGGAACACTTTGAACGAACGGGGCACGAAATCGACTGGAAATCGACCAAAAGGTTAGCTGCATATAGTGAAAATAAAAGAATCACGATTATTGTTAGCCAACTAGCTCTAGTTTCCACTGCTAATATCCTGTTTCTATCTATAATATCAAGTCTATGACTTCTTAGGCCCTAAGCCCTTGTGTGCCAAACCCACAAACGTTGTCGTTCAACATTGAACATAATCGAAGCAAGCAGTATCACAACATTTGTTGGTTGGCACATAAGAGACTAGAACGTAGGAAGTGATGGACATGGTATTACAGATAGAAATAGGAAGGACGTGGTAGAGAATAAACTATTTGGCTAACAATAGACGTGTTTGATCATAGACGTGATCCTTGAATCATGACTATTGTTAGCCAAAGAGCTCTAGCTTTCACTGTTTTTATCCTCTTACTATATATAATATCAAGTTTATGATTTCCTATACCCTAGTCTTTCGTGTGCCAAACCCAGAAACGTTGCGGTTCAACAAAGAATATAATGAAAGCAAGCAGCACTACAACATTTGTGGGTTAGCACACAATCAACTAAGGCATGTCAAATCATAGGCCTCGTATTAGGGATAGAGACAGGATAGACGCGGCGGCGATTGGAGCTAGTTGGCTAACAGTAGGTTTTACAAGAGACGTGTTCTATGTAGCAAAGGCTTAACGATTAGACTTACTCAGAGGCCTTAGTCTCGAATTAGTCACCCAGACGCAGGGTAGTGCGAATAACGCCTCGAGTAGCACAGATGGGGGGTCAGGGGTCAAGTGAAATACGTGTAACGGGGAGTAGCAGACGGATTCTACGGAACAAGAGGGAGACCCTGATAGGACCCAGGGAAGGACTACGTAACAATATGACAGACTCTGGTCACCATTCCCAGCACAAGGGTAAGGGGGTGATAACGACAGTGTAAAGTGTGAAGGATTTTCATAAATACCGCTCGAAAAAGCACACCACATTACATCAAAATAAGCACGGTAAAAATTGTGACAGTGAATGCGTTATAGGAGGATATAGAAAATGTGAATAGCCCAGGGTAGAAGGGGAGATAGCACAATTGTTTAGCACACGTTTGGTCAAAGGATGGGCTTCACTTGTCTCTTTGACGAGCTGTACTATGGTGCT